CGGGCAAAATTCTTATGCGATTCGGGTCTGGTCGCCCAGACACATACAAATGGCGTAGGCTATATCACACGAAAATTTGGGAATCGGGAGGAATTCTAGTTTTATGGTCATAAAACGCCAAAAAACGTGGAATGTTCATGGCAAGACGAAGACTATTGTTCCTTAGGTCGTTTTATGGGCCAACAAAATTTTAGGCGATTCGGGTCCGGTCACCCGGGCCCGTACAAATGGCATGGGTTATAGACTTATAGCACTCGAAATTCTGGGAATCTGGCAATATTCTAGTTTTATAGCCTAAAAAGCCAAAAAGGAGGCGCGGTCATGGCAAAACGATGATTATTGTTTTTTAGATCATTTTTGACGGGCTGACAAATTTTTAGGCGATTCGGGTCCGATCACCCAGACCCATGCAGATGGCGTGGACTATAGCACACGAAAATTTGAGAATTGGGCAGAATTTCTGTTTTATGGCACTAAAATGCCATAAAATAAGGACGAATCATGGCGAAGCGATGACTATTGTTCCTTAAGTCATTTTTTATGGGCCGATAATATTTTAGGTGACTCAGGTCCCGGTGCCCGGACCCACAGCGCGGTCTATAACATACGAAAATCTGAGAATCAGACGGAATTCTTATTTTATGGCCCTAAAACGGCAAAAACGAAGAACAGTCATGGCGTGACAATGAATATTATTACTGGGGTCGTTCTTGATAGGCCGACAAAATTTTAAGTGATTCAAGTCTGGTCGCCTAGACCCATGCAGATGGCGTGGGCTATAACACATGAAAATTTAAGAATTAGGTGGAATTTCAATTTTATGGCACTAAAATACCAAAAACAAGGAACGATCATGGCGTTGTTTATTGTTCCTTAGGTCGTTTTTATGGGCCAACAAAATTTTAGGCGATTTGGGTCCGGTCACCCATACCCATGCAGATGACGTGGGCTATGGTACAAGAAAATCTAGGAAGTGGACGGAATTCCAAATTTATGGCCTTAAAATGCTAAAAAATGAGGAACGGTCATGGACAGGGGATAACTATTGTTCCTTAGGTCGTTATTGATGGGTCGGCAACATTTTAGGTGATGAGTATTGTTCAATAAGAGCTTGTTGCTCTATTGTTTCAGTTCAAAACAATTGATTTCTTGTTTCAGTATTACATGTAGATGTGCTATAAAACTCTATGAATAGTAACTTTTTGAAAGTATAACTACAAATGATAAATCTAGTATATATGTTTGTTGTGTCGCGTAATTTTTCCTATGAAAATTATAGTACGTAATAAATTGCAGGGGCGGAGGTAGAATTAGAGCTACGGGTTCAGCCGAACCCAGTGGCTTTGGTGCAAATCATGTATTTGTCTTAAGAAATTCATTGAATATATATAAATTATTAAAGGAATTTTTACCTCCTATATCAAAGGTTAACACCTTATTTATTTTAAATAAATACTATTTAAAAAAATTATATTCTATAGATACTTTTTAAGGTTTATAGCAAAATATTTAATTTTGGTTACCTTCTAGCCCTAAGCCACTAAAAACGCTATTCAGTTACACTATTTTCTTTCTCTCTTTACTTTGATCCATCCCATTCTCTTCTCCATCCCATTAAAATTTTCGCTCTCCTCCTCCTTCTAACGACATCTTCTCGACTGAAAAAATCTAACAACTTGAGTGACAACAGTATGTGGAATCCATCCACTAAAATATTCTGAAAATTGCCGATTTGTCACATTAACCCTCTACATAATCATGGACTGAGAGAGGTTGCAGGGTTGAGCCAAATTTGTGGTGGTTTTGGGTATGATACTTCTGCTAATGATTATAAGGTCGTTAAAATAGCCCAACTTTATCACTTCTCTAGTAGTTCTGTAGCTACTGTTACAATGGTTTATAGTTTGAAGTTGGGTTTGTGGAAGAAGAAGGTTCAGGATTGTCCATACTGGTTGGTTAAGGAAGACAACGACACATTTGCAAGTTGAGAGGTTGTTCATTATCGATATCAGAAAGCAGTTTCCACAGATCTTTGAGCAAATTACGATATGTCTACCGAAGAAGAAGCCGTACAACACTCGCCGACTATCGGAAGAAGCTCTATTTGGCTACAAGGCGGAAATTAGGGTTTGTTCTTGAGCAAAGACGACGAAGTTTGGGGTTGAGCAGCTTGATTTCTGTTAATATATTTCAATGTATTTTCATCGTATCACACTATTTTTTCATGTATTTCATTGTATTCATTGTCTTTTTTTCCATTATAATTCAATCTATCTCGCTGTATTCCGTGTATTTCATTGTATTCACTATCTTTTTTTTATTATTTTTCAATGTATCCCATTGCATTCTATGTATTTCATTGTATTCATTGTCTCACTATATGTCATGAATGTATTCATATATTTTTTTAATAAATATAATTTATGTAATCAGATGTATTATATAATTTCTCTAAAGATTGCTATGTTTTTGGGGTATTTTTCAGTTGAGAATCTTTTTTATAATCGGAAATACAAATTTTGTGTTATAATTGAGTTTGTTGAGTTATATTAGGAGTCTATTATGTTAATTGATACACTTTTCGTTTAAAAATAATGTAATCACATGTTTCACGCCGTGAATACAGTCGAATACAGTAATATGTCTAGCTATAATCCCATGTTTCACGCGATGAATACAGTCGAATACAACAATTGATTAGCTGGACTTCCCTGATTCACGCCTATTTTTGCTACTGTATTCATGAATACAATAGCTTAAATACATCAAATACATCTTATAACCACAGAAAAGGTATCTATAATCCATAATATAGCAAATGGTATATATAGATGGCTAATTACTACTAAAAGATAGTGCTTTATGAAAATTTTCCATTATTAATTTAGATCCCAGTAACTTAAAGAATTTAAAATTCCAAACTCATAAATTTCAAATCCTGGATCCGCCTCTGATAAATCGGGCCTCCAAGTTTGGGTTTGCATAAATCAAGCAATTTGAACAGGCCCGCACTATGTGGGTTTTGTTCGCGCATTTGCATCTATACCCGCTTTTTGTGTCACATTTTAACTTGTGCCCGCTTTGCAAAAAAATTGCAAGCGTACCCGCTTTTTCGCATAACTTCAGCACACGGGACTGAAGTAGCAAAGGCAATCACGCAAAACTTCAGCATTCTAGTAGCCGGGCCTAAAGTTCAGCTCTAGAGCTGAAGTTTTTATTTTGTAACTGGCGAAATTCAGCTCTAGAGCTGAAGTTTTTGTGTTGTGACTGGGAAAGTTTTTGTGTTGTGACTGGAAAACTTCAGCTCTAGAGCTGAAGTTTTCGTGTTGTGACTGGGAAACTTCAGCTCTAGAGCTGAAGCTTTGATAAAATTAACTCTTATATGAAGCCGTTGGATTTGCTCCTCTCCATTGATCCAATTGATGAAGCCTTCACCAGCTATTAGCATTCAACCATTTCTTTCAATTGTTGTATTGACAATGCAATTAACTATTTGTAAATCAAGTGCATTATTTCTCTGTTTCGTTGTTTTAACGTCAACGATTAAACAATATTAACCAGAAAATAAGCGCTATGTTTTACACAGAAATTGTATAATGATCGTGATGGCTACCCAATCCTTTTCCACAATATTCTGTACTTTGATTTTGTTTAGATAACTTTACTGAAGTTTTATAGAGTAATATGGTATCTGATCAGAGAGAACTCCTTGTTGACATCTAGCTGTGATGAGATGGAGCTCCTTTCTTTCAATTTGCTTGTTTGCATATTTCAGCTATTTATTTCAGAAGAAGAAGAAAAAAACGAAGGAGGAGAAGAAGGAGGAGAAAGGGGGCTGAAGTTATTTAAGAATTGGGTACAAGTTAAAAGCTTTAAAAAAATGGGTATAGGTTAAATGGGGGCGACCAAATGTAAAAATTGCACGGGGCGCCCTATTTGGTCGCCCCCATTTAACCTATACCCATTTTTTTTAAATATTTAACTTGTACTCACTTTTTAAAAAACTTCAGCTCTCTTTCTTCTTCCCTTCAGTACCTCACCAGAAGACAATAAAGTTGTGTTTTAACATTTATAAATAACGATGGGACAAATGACTCTTCCATTTGGGCAGATAACAATTAATCCACTCAAGTCGTTGGACCTATATAAGTTAACGAATTTGATGAGATTTCTGTTGTGGGAAAAAAAGTGACAATGGAAGAGTTGTACAATTAAACGACTAGGGAATGGCAGCAAGTCTATAAAAATCCATTGTAGTAGCAAAAGACACCATTTTCTAATTGGCACAATCAGTCTAAATATTTCTGAGGAAACTTCAAAAGAATACAATGCACGAGAAGTGGAGATACCAAATAAAACTTAGCAGATAAGAAACGATAAAAGAAAGCAGATTTACATGATGCAGGGGACAGTGAAAAAGAATCCAAATAGGACAGTGAAAAACTTCAGCTCTGAATCCTAGTAGGACAGTGAAAAACTTCAGCTCTAGAGCTGAAGTTTCCCAGTTACAGTGAAAAACTTCAGCTCTAGTATATAATATTAATATGTGGTAAAAAAACTTCAGCTCTAGAGCTGAAGTTTCCCATTTACAACACAAAATCTTCAACTCTAGTATGTAATATTTAATAGGTGGTAAAAAACTTCAGCTCTAGTATGTAATATTAATAGGTGGTAAAAAAACTTCAGCTTTAGAGCTGAAGTTTCCCATTTACAACACAAAAACTTCAGCTCTAGAGCTGAACTTCAAGCCCGGCTACTAGAATGCTGAAGTTTTGCGTAATTGCCTTTGCTACTTCAGCCCCGTATGCTGAAGTTATGCGAAAAAGCGGGTACACTTGCAATTTTTTTACAAAGCAGACACAAATTAAAATGTGACACAAAAACGGGTATAGATACAAATGCCCCCGACCAAATAGGGCGGCCCTTGCAATTTTTACCCTTATTAGCAATATAAGTTACGAAGTAAATGGGCCTGCTTAAAAGGCCCAGCATATTGGTGCGAGAGAGACGTTCCCTCCTGCGCGTAAAATCAAAGGAAGATGGAGGTGGAAATCCCCGCCGACGTCCCCTGCTCTTCCACCGCCGTCAATTCCATCATTCGCATGGGCACCGTAAGCCACTGTTTTTGTTTCCCTAATTTGTTATCCAAATGTTCTTAAACACTTATTAGGATCTGTACTGTACGTGGGACTATACTGCAGGCTGGCTTAATCTGGGGTTCCTGTTCTGGTCCATACGAAGCCAACAAATTAGGTACTATACTTAGTTTTTAATGTATAATCCATTCGCTGTTGATGAAAAGATCAAACCTTTTGTGTATTTTTCTTATTCTGCTATAATACGAACAGGTCTTGCTGGCATTCATCGAGCTTCTTTTATTGTAAGTTGCTCATTGCAATCCTTTTCCTGTGCTTTTCTGTTTGATTTTTTTATAATATGATTGTCTTCTGTGCTTTTACTCTATATGCAGGCTAAGTCAGTTGGTCGGTTTGGCTTTCAGTGGGGTAATCACATTGACTTCCCCAAGCTAATTTACATTAACCAAGTATTTTCCCATCATGTCACCTTCTATGTTAATCTATATTTAAGTTATATACACTGGCAGTATAAAGTACTGTGCTGGTTATCTTACACGGCAACTACACTAATCGTCTATATTAAGCATGCGTTTTGGTGATCTGGAAAATAAAGATAAAGTAAGGTCGGAGCCCCATTACTTGAGGAAAGGCTTAGATGCGATCTTTTCAATATAGAAGCTTATGGTGTATCATAAGAACATCCATATCTGAAAACACCACAAAATCTGAACCATAACCCGAGAAACTGCGGAGAAATAAGCTAGTTTATATTACTAAGGAGTGGCAATGTTATATGTCAAATTGATAGTTATCTGTACATGTTTGATGACACAACACAGCGTAATAAGAAATTTGATAAAGATAATGAGCAGAATTACAATCACTGCCATGGACTATGCTATGCTAGACTACTTCTACAAAAGTCTGTTTAGAATGAAACTATCACCATTTTGTGTGCTTCGTGTTATAATGTTATGTAAACTTAAACTTGTTTTATTGCAAAGGGGTACCAAGCGCTCATAGTCAGACTTGATTGTGTCCAATTATTATTTTTCTTGTGTTTTCATCAGTCCTTAGTTTCTACTGTTTTATGCTCTTTTTACTATGTTTTCTCTTGGATAATGCCATGGTTATTTTAGAGATGTCATTATTATCTGATAAGCATCCATCTTTCTTTTATAGGACTGTTTGCTGCAATATTTTCTTCCACTCGCTGTGGGCTCCAGAGATATAGAAGACGAAATGATTGGGTCAGTTTGTTAACATATACCCTCTCATACCTTGTCAAAAAAAAAAAAAAAAAAAAAAAAAAAAAAAAAAAAAAAAGATATACCCTCTCAGATCACAGCATTAATTTGGACCCTCCTTTATTGACCCACTTATGGCTGTACATGTAAAATATGCTACTATTGTTTAACTAGGAGAATTTACATGGAAATGCTGCTTCCACTAATTTTTCCAAATTTGCTATTATATTAAACCATATCAGGTTGTTTGTTTGGAGCTAAACAGCGGGTAGGCATAGTTAGTAAGCACATCAAGGTCTACTTTTATGAATCTCGTTGCGAAAGTAGGAATGTGTGTTTTCCTCCATTGTCAAGTTATAGTAATCATTCAATATATATGAAATTGGTTTAAATTTTGTTTTCATTCCTTTTTAGTGTGTAATATAGATTTAGACAACAGTTTTTAGTTACCGCTTCATATTGTTAGAGTCCAATATGATATCGTGGTGAACTGATGGTAAGCACTGAAGCATCACGTGTACCATAGGTGATATCTCAGAATTTTAGATAGCTATGTAAGATTGTATGATCTCTGAACCTTTTTCTATATAAGTGACCAATTGGAGGTAATGTTTTTGCAGACAATATAAGAGCAACCAAAACAATCCCCTTTTGCTGGATGAAATTAACATTTAACGTAAACAGAAATCATGAAAACTGCATATTCTTTTGGATGTTCTAATTAAAGAATAATAAACATGCACTGATGCAAAAGAATCTACATTTACTTGGACCACGTGATGCGTATAACTTTCTCACAGTACCTTTTTTGCTTTAGTACTAATTGAATTCGTGTCAATGGTAAGCCATGGGTATTACTATCAACAAAAGTTATAAGATTGCTTTTTCTTTTGCAGGTTAATGTTTTGACTGCTGGTGTAGTAGCAGGGGCTGCTTTTGGTGCAGGCACCCGAAACTGGAAGCAGGTTGCTGGAGCAACAGGTCTTGTGTGTCTCTTGTGTCATGTTGCTGAAGACTCGAGATAAAATTTCTCTGATTTACTTAAAAGGGACTAAAATACTCTGCAGTAGTACCGGAAATTGATGGACCCTTGTCTCCATCCATACCAGTCTGTGCCATACTATATATATCATGTTGATTGAGGAGCATGGCGCAGTGGCATGCTTCACGGAATGGAAAACGAAATTCACCTAATTGAAGTTCATACATGATTTTTTATGTCGATTTCATAGGCCATGGGTTATATTGCATGTGTTTTAGGGAAACAAACCTAACATATGAATTACGAGGCAAGTGTATCTTTGTTACCGTCTTCACTATAGGACAATCATAATCCTCTAGGGGACAGTTGCTTGGAGTTGATCATAGGTTGGTTTATCTACCTGTTTTTGAATTACAGTATATTATTGGGAGTAAATCTAGATATGTAAATCTTCATCTCAATTTCATGAATGATTGTCTAGTTTCTTTAGCTAAGTTGTGCTGACATGAGACGAGCGATTCTTCTCTCGTACTATTTGTTTTCTTGTCTTGTGTTTAATGCATTTTCGATTTAATTTGATCTTTTTGTCTAAGTAGATGATAATGGACGTGAAACAAATGCTTTATTCTCTTTGTATTCGTGTTGCACGCCATCCACCTTTTAGACTAGAGGCTCCGTACCTTGTCTCCTTTCATTCTTACACTTCCTCAAAGATATCTCCCCTATTTTTTATCCAAATTCTATGAAAGTAATTGGCCTGTAGTAAATCTTTTTAGAAAACCCAAGAATAATTGCAGTTTTGGTCCTTGAATTATGCTTTATGTGGTCTTTTGCTCCCAACTTTAGTCCTTAAGCGAATGGCTGTCAGCAAACTTATCGTACTAATAATTTAAGACTACAGAAATTAACCTCCTCCCCCC